TGCCGTCCACACTTTCTGCGGAGAACACTGTTGGGGAAAAAAACTGAACAAGCAAATCGGTTTGGTAGGAGGCAAAAACACATGCTGCCTGCCTTCATCTTTGTCCGCACAGTTTTTGCGATGCTGGCCAAATCTTGGCAAACTGGGAAGAACCTGCACATAGTTGAAGCAGTGAGATACAAGCAACAGGGTCGACCCTTGTGAAACAAAGTTGAAATAGACTATAGAATCTGATAGAAGGCTCCCTATTGAAATCCAATGTTCAAATGTTCATTCATCAACGACGTTGCTTTGCTCGGTCTTGCTATTGGCAGGTAGCAAAACATTCCACATACAACGCGGTTTTACACTGGCTCCTGACCCCAAACTTTACTGTGTTGATATGAACCAATGGGCTTTGCTGCCAACCATGAAAGGGAAATCCGACAGTAAGGGGTTCAAACGCATGGGCGAGGCTGCAACGGCTTGGAAGCGAGGGCCCTCTTCACGAAACCGATAAGTTGTTCAAGTCATTTGTCCACTGCCACCGGTAAGGCTAGATGACTTGGGGCAAAAATGCATTTCACGGTGTTGAAAAGGGCTCTCACCTGCAGAGAGTTATTGAACATGTTTTGTATTTATATATATATATAGTCGAGTCATACTAGCACAAATTGATTCAAAACTCCAACCCAGATCGTCATGACTTGGATAGCGAAGTGTCAATTCTACGCAAAGACGGCATAATATATTCCAAGGCTGAAGTTCCCACACCTCGCACAAGAGTACGAGTCATTAGGCCCTCCATCCTCTGTGCGCCTCCGTGCAAGCTCCTTGAGCGCAGTCAACACCACTCCACGCTGCTCTTCCGAACAAGTGGACCTGCGGCTAGATGAGGACCTAGGGGGAGGCCATCGCTTCTAGGTCGGAGGCCCATCGCTATTGGGTTGGAGGCCATTGCTATTACTATAGGTTGGAGGTCATCGCTATTAGATCTATTGGGGGAGGCCGTCGCTATTAGTCTCCTGGGAGTCCAAACAATAGAGTTCTGGATTTGTGAATCCCCGTCGTCAGACCTGGTAGAAAAGACCCCCATCTGATCCGCAGAGGGAACGACTTCGTCATGCCGTTGATGTTGACTCCTCTAAGATCTCCGCATGATGTTCGGCTCTCTGTTCCATGAATTCAGGGCACCTGTCAAAAGACCTTTCAGTTCACTTGATGACATGGTCGACTCTTGTGCATCCAATGCAAGATAGTGAGAGCCTTTGGATCCACGCCTGCTGTTTTGGATTTGGATTGGAATTGTCAAGGATGAATCAATCCTGTCATTTCTATCCTTTGCAACACCAACCTCCAGGAGAAGGCTCCTTTCAATTGAAGATGTTCTGATAAAATGTCCCAGTGCAGGATCCAGTCTTGCGGAGTGGTTTTTTTGTGCCAGATGGCCACGAGTGTTTCAGCGTGACAAGAAAATCCGATCGTCCATTGTAAAGCGAAGAAGTCCCGGACAAACAGCGCTGTAAGAGCTATCAGTGCTTACATGATGCTCTCATGCAAAGTAAGTTACCCAAAGATTGGGTGTCCCATGGCCTCCGCTTTCGCAAGGAGAACACGGCCTCCGCGTTGTTTTTCTTTGTTTGCCGAAACATCCAACGTAGTCTGTGCATGTCTGTGTGGGGTGTGCAATGTGCAGCTGTGCCCAAACACTGTGTTGCTCTCTTACAAAGAGGCTGCGCATCTACAGCCAAACCTCTAGCTTCGTTCTTTGAAGGCTTGGGGACGCGACATCCTTCTGTATCCGTTTCAGGAATTCAGAAAAAAAGAACCGACCAAAAATTGAACGTTAGTACCTTAGCCAAGAATGAATGTTCGCCGCCAACAGGCTCTGTGCATCTCTGTGATTCCCAGGTGGTGCAGGAGAGCGCGGTGTATGCGCGTGTCCACCAGCAACGGATCGACCAGACATATAGATCATGTACAGGTAGTAATCATTTCATGACGGATGCAGGAATCTGAAGCTAGGCTGACCATCGCAAAACAGGGTGAATGTCCAACCAATGGAAGGTCACTCGATTTCAATGTGGTTTTGTTTTTGTTCATGCGGGGTAGCATGGATTTTTTGGTATATGTTTCCTTTCGGTATAGTTTCTTGTCATCTCACGTGGCACTTTGCGGGGTGAGAATCATGTTCAAAGGCTACAGTATGTTTTTTGTTTCTCTCAGTGAAAATTCATTGAATGTACAAAACCCTCCACACTACTGGTCACTTGTGCAAAAAATTGGTGTTTCGGGGAAGGGCCAGTATCGTGGACTGCGTATGGCGGTCTCCCCCTTTGAGGCCCCCAGCGACGGTGGCGATGCCCAACGCGAGCGCCAAAGGGAGCGTCCATGAAGGGCTTCCACTGCAGACCGGAGCGAGTGTTGAATCGAGTGAGGTCAACCCCGCCTAGCCAGGTATATGGATAGTCCACCTTACCCCCCAGGGGAGTCAAAAATGTAACTTACAATTTTGGGTGTATCAAAATGCAGGTTTTGGACAGCGGTGATTTTTGAACTATACAGGTCTAAAAGACCTCCATCTGACAAGACAATTGTAAGTTATATAATACTTATATACATGTTTGAGCCTCATGTGTGTTTGTTCAGCCTGTGCACGCTCAAAAATTGGAAATTACATTTTTGAGGGTCAGGTGGATGCATGGATCCTGACCCTCATGGCTTTGCAACTTACAATGTCCAACAGCAAGAAGCTACTAGTAAGTAGCAAGCTTCTTGCTGATGCCCTAGTAGCGATGCCCTCGCTACTAGTAGCGATGCACTTTGAAGTAGCTTCTTGCTACTAGTAACTAGTAGCAATGCCCTTGTTGCTAATAGCAATGCCCTTGTTACTACTGTAGTAGCTTCTAGGTCGATGCTACTTCTGGACCAAGGCCATGATGCAAGTGGAGTGAACAAAGACACCACCCACTTCCCTTCCGGAGATTCGGAGATCTTAACATATCTTATATATTATATCAACACCCTAAATCTTGCCCCGTAACACAAGATTCCAATGTCCACAACCCCAGAATTGATGAAGAGCAGAATCGCGTCTCTGTTTGCTGTCAAAGACATACACCGCCAAATGCTATGCTGCAAAGGGATGCACAGGGTACATCAGGTACGACATGGTCACTTTCAGACTCAGTAGCCTGTGGAATGCCACAAACTGTTGAACATTGCAGAGTTCTATGATGTCTATGGACTGTCCATCCCGAGTTGGTCGAATTTACAGACCAGTTCACGTTCAGGTGCTTTTTCTCGGCAAAGCTTGGGTTTTAAGGCAATGGTTACCTGCTTCTGATTGTGGTCAAATCAAGTGGATTCAGCGGAGAAAAATACGGTGACTGGCTTGTCCAAGCAAATATGAGCAGCAGGTAAGATCACTAATTATCTCATGCCATTTCCATCATGTTCATCCCCTTTGAGCAGGCTTCTTCTTTTGATGTGGTTCTTCGTTTTTCAGTGGCCGTTTTGATGGCTTCTTCCCTGTTCCAAGTTGGCCTCATCGCTTTCGCCGTCTTTGCCGATGAGGGCCGGCGGAGGCAGCGCTTTCCTGTGGCTCCACAGGAGTCCGTCTCCGTCTTCGAGTCTCTCCGTTCCGAGTCTCTGCAACATCCGTACGACGTCGTAGCCCCTAGTAGCGTCCTTGTTCCTAGTAGCGATGCCAGGAGCCCCTAATAGCTTCTTGTTCCTAGTAGTACGGCCAGGAGCCCCTAGTAGCTTCCGCAAAAAGAGTAGAGGCGTGACACCTGTACCAAGGCTCCACTTTGTGGGTCGAAGATGGTCTAAGGATCATGACGCACTTCGCAGGCTATCCAGCCTGGCCTCTAGCAATTTAGTCCCTCCTGGTCAATTAGCACCAAATCTAGCCAGGCTCAGACCCTTCAAAAGGCCAACAATAGCAGAGCTCGAACGATACTCTTGCTACTAGTAGCGATGCACTTTGTTACTAGTAGCTTCTTGTTCCTAGTAGTAATGCCAGGAGCTACTAGTAGCTTCTTGCTACTAGTAGTAATGCCTTTGTTACTAGTAGTGATGCCCTTTTCGTGAGTATATGAATAAGGATTGGGCACCATTGTAGGGTGGACACAAACTCGCAACTGCCTTTGTGCAGGAAATGGAGGATGGAGAAATTCCGCTGGTTGGTGTGCCACCCCGTCTTGAATTGCACCAGTATTTTCTAAATGACTTATCCCAGCATAGTCACATAACAAAATACTCGAGTTGTTACGAAAGTATCCACAATGACAAGCTGTTTGTTTCGTGTGTACAATCCAGCTTGTTATGATCTCCAGCGCATAAGCCCTTCGACACCAGAGGGTCGGTGTTTTGAGTCAAATCAGTAGAAAAGAATCAACATCTGTAACCAGAATAGAATATCTGCTGATATGTGTTCAGTAGTCCGATGTACTTTTCTATGGAACCTCCTAGATCGCCACATCAAACCACGTAGGCCTCCAAGGTATGGCAGATGGCCACGAAGGCAGATGGCCACTGAGTCAGAAGGCCACTGATGTCTTCCAAGCTTAGAATGGTGTATGAATGGTTTATGTATGTTTATGTCAGTCTGTGGAAAACAAATATAATAGATTAACAATAAAAACAGACCATCCCAGTGTGGAGATATGTGAATGAATGCTTGAATCTATTTGAGTGGTTGATGGCTTGTGATCGGTCATCTTTCGATGTGTCCCGCTAGGCCTGTCACAAGAAAGCATAAGAAAGCTACATGCAAGTTGCGTGGTTGATGATTGCTTGTCGGCTTGTCTACCATCGAAACGGTACTGGATCCGTTCCCAGATGCTGACCGACGAGTTCTTGTTGGTCACGCCGCGGACATTCCAACGCATCAGTCGGTGCTTGTCGGTGACGATGATTGTACGCTGGCTGCTCGCTGGTTCAGTGCTTCTCTTGTGGGGGTGATTGAAGTGTCTTGCCAGGTCTGTTGACTCAAGTTGACAAAATTGAGCTCAAGTGTTTGGCTGCGGGATGGCTCACGCATGAGTCACAAGTAACATCAAGTCATTCTTTTCCCCTTGAGAGCTCTCAGATATCGTCGAGCAATCGCACTGCTAGACCCCAAATGCCTGAGCGATTCGCGTAGGTCGAAATAGGTCGAACATGGTCGAAATAGAGAGGTCGTTATCACAAATACCTCGAGCAAGACCTGCTTGTTTCGGAGACTTCATTGAAATCTGATCACATGGAGGCACACTATTCCTGCCGGCCCGTAGCATCCGGTAGCCATTAGAGGCGCTCGTGCACTTTCTTTAGTCCGGCAAATCTAAATCTAAAGCAGGTGGAGGAGAAGATGGAGCGGCAGCCACTTTGGACTTCTGGGCATCCTCAAAAACACCTGGGACAAGCTGAGAGAAGGATGAGGAGTGCCCGGATGTGTATGGCGACTGGGATCGGACTCTCGCTAACTCAGATGAACTGATTGATCCGCAGTAGTGATACTATGGTTGTGATGAAGAGGAAGCGGTGTTGCTTATCACATCTAATATCATGACAACAAGTGGCATCGAAAGCAGCCCTCCCACCCTCCAAGACTGGA